GCCTAGGGATTTTTAGCGGGGTTTTTTAAGGGTATTTTAAGGATAATTTTAATGATCGGCCTTCTTAAATATTTCCTTTTAATTCGGTTTTTAATATAGATATCATTGTATTTGTATTGTGGTTTTTATGAGGCTGTTAGCCGCCCTGAGTCCCATGAGGAGAAGGGCGGGGTACAAATTAAATTAATAAATAAAATAAAATAAATTAATAAATAAACCAGTGCTTAGTGCTTCTCCTTACCAATAAACTCATGGTTCAAGCCATGGTTAAGCCAGGGATAAGCCCAAGGTATGCAAGCCATCTTTGTGAGGGGATCAGAAGACAACACTCACCGTGGGCTAGATCAGGGCTTTTCAAGCAGCGGTCCAGGTACCACCTGTGGTACATTGGCACCTGGCAGGTGGTACGCGACCATCCTAGAAAAGTGGTAGCGGGGGAGGGGAATGAGCTGAACTGGTGGCAGCACTGCACAAGCCTGAGCGAGAGATGGCTGGAGCTGCAGGGCTGTCAGGGCTCAACAGAAGCGCTAGGATCAGTGCCGCTTTCCAGCTGATCGGCGCTTCTTTGGGACTGTTAGGGCTCAGTGGAAGCGCCAGAATCAGCGCCAGGCTCCAGCTGGAGCTCGGCGCTGATCCCGGCACTTCTGCTGATCCCTGAAGAAGCACCAATCAGCTGGAATGTTGCAGCATCTCCAGGATCTTGTGATTTACATTCAGATGCGTGGCAACTGATTCATATTTATGACGGTCACAGTGTCCCAGGGTCATGTCAAGTGACCAAAACCTGCTGTAACCACCCAGCAGACGGGAGGAATAAAAACCAAACACCCCCCACCCCACCCCCGCTGCCAGTCCTCAACAGAAATGCTCACAATAATGAAAACCTCAGACAGGAGGAAGAGTGCCACCGGGTGGGCAGGCAGGTGTCTTGCTCAGCTGTGCCTTGGGGGGCACTTTTTCAGTGCCATTGTAACTTCGAACAGTCACTAAGCGAACTGTTAAGTCGAGGACTACCTGTACTTAATCACTTTTTTCCCTTTGGGGGGGGGGTCATCAGGTTTTTGACACCTTGCTAGGCGACTGGTGGTACTCGGATATTGCCGTATCCTAAAAGTGGTACAATGGGTGAAAAGGTTGAAAAACCCTGGGCTAGAGCTGCACCTCAGTTTTCATCCTTTGACTGTGTTTGTTAGAAAAGGAAAAACCAGGCCAACTTCAGCCCTCCTTCGGGATTAGAAAGCCGTAGTGCAAACTTTCGGCTCTGCAGCCATCTTCCTCTGTTATAGTACAAGGCTCTGAAGCTCACATCAACTTTAGATTTCTTCAGAAAAATAAATTATAAATACAAATAAAAACACGGAGCGCCATGAACAGAGTTACTGAAATTAGGATAATTGGCCTGTGGGTGGAATGCATCCATTGACTGACAAAAGGGTGAACACAAAAAGAAGAATTTAAATCAGGAGATAATGAGAGGGGCAGCCTCTCGTTAATTGCACCCAGCTCCTGCTCCGGAGCTGTGTTCCGTGAATTTCCAACCTTTTCTAAGAACTCCCAACATTAAAAAGGGGTTTTTGTGAAGACTTATTAAGCTCACTTAGTCACATC